CTGCAGTGGCCGGGAGCGGCCACTGTACTCCAGTCTGGGTGACAGAGTGAGACTCCAACTCAAAAACAAAAAAAAAAAAAAGAGAGAGGAAGAGAAAAGAGAGACATTTTCAAATATACAAAAGCTAAACCAGCAACTCACATCATAAAAAAAATGCCAAAGGACAGTCTTCAGACAGCAGAAAAATGGTACTAGAAGGAAATCTTGATCTACACAAAGGAATGAAGAGCACTGAAAACAGGAATTGTAAGGATAAATATGTATAATTGATGTGTTATTTGTAAACACCTTTATTTTTTTTTTTTTGAGTTGGAGTCTCGCCCAGGCTGGATGGCAGTGGCACGCTCCAAGCCACCACAGCTTTGTCCTGCTGGGCTTAGGCAATCCTTCCACCTCAGCCTTCCAAGTAGCTGGAACTACAGACGCCTGCCACCACACCCGGCATGAGCCACTATACCCAGCCACAACACATAGAGACAAGATCTCACCATGTTGCCCAGGCTTGTCTTGAACCCGAAGGCTCAGGCAATCCTCTCGCCTCGGCCTCCCGAAGTGCTGGGATTACAGGCTTGAGGCACTGCACCCGGGTTGCCATTTATATTTTATTTGTCCCATCTGTTCTTTGTTTCCTTTTTCTGCCTTCTTTTGGAAATTATTTTTTAATGTTTTTGTTTTTCCTCTTTTTTTTAAATTATAGAGATAGAGTCTCACTATGTTGCCCAAGCTGGTCTCAAACTCCTGGCCTCAAGCAGTCCTTCCACTTTGACATCCTGAAGTGCTGGGATTACAGGTATAAGCCACCATGCCCAGCCAATGTTTTTCCTCTCTCCCTCTCTCTTTCTCTCTCTCTGGTTTATTAGCTATAACTCTTTGTTTTTTAAATGGCATTTGTCATTAACTTATCTCTGTCTACCTTTGAGGATATTATGCCACATCATAGATAGTATTTAAAAAAAACCCTAGGTCCAGCTACTTGGAAGGCTGAGGCGGAAGGATCACCTGAGCCCAGCAGGTCCAGGCTGCAGTGGCCGTGAGCATGCCACTGCACTCTAGCCTGGGCAATGGAGTGAGACTGCAACTCAAAAAAAAAACCTTTATGATTATCACTTTCATTTCTCCTATCCTTTGTGCTATTATTGTCATACATTTTACTTTTATATTTGTTCTAAACCTTACAACACTTTTTTTTTTTTTTTTGAGTCGGTGTCTCACTCTGTCTCCCAGAAAATAGGAATTGTACAGTGGCACAATCACGGCCCACTGCAGCCTCAACCTCCTGGGCTCAGGCGATCCTTCTGCCTCAGTCTCCTGAGTAGCTGGGGCTACAAGTGTGCACCGTCACACCTGGCTAATTTTTAATTTTTTTTGTAGAGACAAAATCTTGCTATGTTGTCCAGGCTAGTCTCAGACTCCTAGGCTCTAACAAGCTTCCCACCTTGGCCTCCAAAAGTGCTGTGATCGATGCTGCAGTGGCCGTGAGCATGCCACTGCACTCCAGCCTAGGCAACAGAGTGAGAATCTGACTCAAAAAAAAAAAAGAAAAGAAAAGAATAGAAAAATACAAATCAAAACCACCAAGAGATACCCACTAGAATTGCTATAATCAAAACGACAGACAATACCAAGTATTGGCGAAAACAATATTGGAGAAACGTAAACCCTTGTGCATTGCTGGCTGGAATATAAAACACTGCAGCAGCTTTTGAAAAACAGTTTAGCTGGGTTCGGTGGCTCAGCCTGTAATCCCGCACTTTGAGAGCTGAGGTGAGTGGATTGCCTGAGCCCAAGGGTTCGAGACCCACCTGGGCAACTTGGTGAGCCCTTCATCTCCACAATAAATCAAAAAATAAGCCGGGCATGGTAGTGCATGCCTGTAGTTCCGGCTACTTGGATACTTGGAAGGCTGAGGCGGAGGGATCCCCTGAGCCTAGTAGGTCGATGCTGAGGTGACCGTGAGTGTGCCAGTGCACTCCAGCCTGGGGGACAGAGTGAGACTCCAACTCAAAAAAAAAAAGAGTTAAATGTGACTTTTAAATTCTATTCCTAGTATATTCCTAAGTGAAATTTAAAATGTATGTTTACACAAAAGCCTGTACATGAATTTTCATAGCAGCATACTTCATAATAGCCAAAATGTGGAAACACACACACCTATAAATTGATAAATAGGTAAGTGAAATATGGTATATCCATACAATGGAATATTATTCAGCCGTTAAAAGGAATAAAGTACTGATGCATGCTACAACATGATGATTCTTGAAAACATACTAAGTGGAAGAAGCCAGATACAAAAGGCTACACACTGTATGATTCTATTGATATGAAATATCCAGAATAGGAAAATCTATAGAGGCAGAAAGTAGAATAATGGCTACTATTGACTGAGGGGAGGGACATATGGACAGTGACAAATGGGGGGATTCCTTGAGGGGCTATTAATATGTTCTTTTTTTTTAAGGGGCCTCACTCTGTTCCCAGACTGGAATGCAGTGGCACCATTATAGCTCATGGCAGCCTCGAACTCCTGGGCTCAAGTGATCCTCCTACCTCAGCCTCCCAAGTAGCTGGGACTACTGGCTCATACCACCATGCCTAGCTGGAGTTATTAAAATGTTCTGAAATTACACAGTAGTGGTGGTTGCACAAATCTATGACTATACTAAAAAAACACTAAACTGAACACTTTAAAGGGGTGAATTATAACACATTAAGAAAAAAAGATTCAATCTATTATTTAAAGTTATAATGATAACTAGTAGAAAGACTACCAATAATAATATCACTAACAAAAACAAAGAAGAAAAAGTGTGAGTGAGATAGATTCTTTGTCCTTCACATCAGGGGTCAATAGTGCTTAAGCTGTAAGTGATCACCTTTTCAATTTAAGAGACTGCTGCCAGAATTAAAAACACAACTCCTTAAAATTGGCTACCTCACCAGACACAGTGTCTCACACCTGTAATCCCAACAGTTTGGGAGGCTGAGACAGAAGGATTGCTTGAGCCCAGGAGTTCAAGAGCAATCTAGGCAACGTAGCAAGACTTCATCTCTGCAAAAAATAAAAATAAAAAAATTAGCTGGGCGTGGTGGCACGTGCCTGTAGTCCTAGCTACTCAGGAGACTGAGATGGAATGGAAGGATTGCCTGAGCCCAAGAGGTCGAGCCTGCTGTGAGCTGTGATGGTACCACTGCACTCCATCCTGGGTGACAGAGTGAGATGCCGACTTGGAAAAAAAAAAAAAAAAAGACTACTTCAGGGGTGTGGTAGTGAATGGAGAATTTTTCATTTTATACCCTGATAACTACATTAACAAATGAAAAAGAAAGAGGGAGGATAAGTCAACTGTATTAGAAAATTAATGGATAGACTATTTTTGGTTCTGTTTTAATTATTGTACACAGAGCACTGAATTGTTGACTCAGATAGGTCATGTAAATAGTTCTTTTGCATCTTCTATGGTTTCCTCAATAGTTTTTTTCATTCATTAGAATTAATTAGATTGAAATTTAGTCCTTGAAATCTTACATTCATTTGGGTAGTTATTATACCAATAATATAAAAGTGTATTGACTATAATTATCCTCCTAAAAGGCTGTCAAATCTAAGTGAATTCCCCTTCTGGCTTATAACATATCAAGAAAACAAAGCAGATCATGCAAATATTAAATATTAATTAAATATTTTTTGCTTTTCCCCCTTTTTTAAAGTATGGAAAGCATAATCTATAGCTTTTTTTTTTTTTTTTAGTTGGAGTCTCACTGTTACCCAGGCTGGAGTGCAGGGCTCCAGTGAGCCTTCTGCCTCAGCCTTCCAAGAAGCTGGAACTACAGGCACACGCCACCACGCCCGGCTAATTTTTTTGATTTATTGTAGAGATGTGGTCTCGCCAAACTTCCCAGGCTGGTCTCAAACCCATGGGCTCAGGCAATCCTCTCACCTTGGCCTCCCAAAAGGGTGGGATTATAGATGTGAGCCACAGCACCCAGGCCATATCTAATTTTTAAGAAGACCAGGCACAGTGGTTTATGCCTGTAATCCTAGCACTTTGAGAGCCTGAGGTAGGAGGATTGCTGGAGTCCCGGAGTTCAAGACCAACCTGGATGACATAGGAAGACCACATCTCTGCCACAAAAAAAAAAAAACAACAACCAAGGTGTGGCACACACCTGCAGATAACTTGAGCCCAGGAGGTCGAGCCTGCAGTGAGCCAAGATGGTGACACTGCACTCCAGCCTGGATGACAGAGTAAGACCCTGTCCCCCTCTAAAAAAAAGAAAGAGAGAAATCAGTATTGTCCTTTATACATTAATGTATTATTCCAACAAAGATGATTGCTTTTTCCTTTGATTAAAAAGTATTCATTCACTGTTATTCCTACAGCTTAAAAAAAAAAAAAGCATCCAAAATTTTGAATGTAACAAAGAGAAATGGCTCTTTGTTGATGCCATCTAAGGCTCCTGAACCTTTTAGCTGAAGAGAAGAACTGGAAGAGAAGATAGAGGTTACCTGGGCCGGGCACAGTGGCTCATGCCTGTAATTCCAGCACTTTGGTATGCCGAGGCAAGAGGACTCCCTGAGCTCAGGAGTTCAAGACCAGCCTGAGCAACATGGCAAGAGCTTGTCTCTACAATAAATCAAAAAATTAGCCGGGCGTGGTGGTGTACGCTTGTAGTTCCTGCTAATTGGAAGGCTGAGATGGAAGGATCACCTGAGTCCAGCAGGTCGAGGCTGCAGTGGCCGTGAGCGTGCCACTGCCCTCCAGCCTGGGCAACAGAGTGAGACTCCAACTCAAAAAATAAATGTATGATGATAAATTAAAGATTTTAAATGAAACCTTTAGACCGGATGCAGTGGCTCAAGCCTGTAATCCCAGAACTTTGGGAGGCGGAGGCTAGAGGATTGCCTGAGTTCAGGGGTTCAAGACCAGCCTGGGCAACTTGGAGAGATCTCGTCTCTACAACAAATCAAAAAATACTCTCTTCCTCTGCACTGCCTACTAAGGTGGCAGCCATCTTCCACCTGGCATCATGGCTGCCCTCAGACCCTTGGTGAAATCCAAGATTGTCAAAAAGAGGATCAAGAAGTTCATCCGGCACCAGTCAGACTGTTATGTCAAGATTAAGCGTAACTGGTGGAAGCCCAGAGGTATTGACAACAGGGTGTGCAGAAGATTCAAGGGCCAGATCTTGATGCCCAACATTGGTTACAGGAGCAACAAGAAAACAAAACACAAGCTGCTGAGTGGCTTCTGGAAGTTCCTGGTCCACAATGTCAAGGAGCTGGAAGTGCTGCTGATGTGCAACAAATCTTAT